GAACTTATTTTTTCGTTTGAGAGGGTGGCATATGAATTCTCAAACCTCTGGCAAGATTCTCGGACCTGTGAAATTCGGTTGCATAGATGATGACATGTTACTCGAATTTCTCTTTCCAAAGGTACAATTTTTTCTTTCCCACTACGGACCTGTCTTTTTCAGAAAGTCTGGAAACATCTCATTGCAATCCTCTGACATGCATCTGTACATAAGTTCCTTGAGGTACTTTTGGTTTTAGAATATCATCACCTGGGATTTCCAGACCTCTCGGAAATGTTTTAAACAAGGTAAGCGATTTTACCCGTTATGTTTACTTAGCGTTAACCGCGTCGTGTGGTGTTTTCATGAGGAAGCTGAAAATGCCAAGTTCGAAAAGTAAAGAGGAGTCTTTTCTCAGCCCCCACTACCAAGTCCTCCCCCACTAACACGTATGAATTTTAATATTCATACGTCTATGCACCTCAACATGTATCATAAGCCATATCCATATTTAACCAGGCCCCTGCTGATACACCTGGGTTGTTTTCGATCCTTAGGAACAATGCTCAATGTGTATTTGAGTACGTGTTGGGGGGGCTGGGGATTGAACCCAGGGCCCTGCACATTCTAAGCAAAAGCTCTACCACTGAGAAATTTTTTGAGATAGGGACTCACTAAGTTGCTCAGGCTAGACTGTGATTCTCTTGCCTTAGCTTTCCAAGAGGCTGGGATTACAGGTGTTCCACCATCCTTGGCTATGATGTATATTTTGAACTCTCTTCTTATAGGTATCTACACAGCCAGTTTCTCCATTTCCTCCAGGTTTCTGCTTAAATGTCACCTCTTTACTTTTGTATTACATAAAACAGCCCCGCCATTACTCCCTGCTCTTCCTACTCTACTTTTTCTTCATTGACACATACTTGTTTATAGACACTTTCCCAACAAGTACAAACTTCCTGAGACAGCCGTATTTGCTGCTCTATGCCCAGCCTAGAACAACGCAAGTGTGCAGTTGGTGACTATTAAGTGCATATTAAATAGGTCACTTTGCACTTTTTTGTTTGCAGTACTGGCATTTGAACTCAGAGCCTCATACTTGTTGGGCAGTTGCTGTACCACTTTAGCCCTTTTTGCTTTAGTTATTTTTTAGATAGCGTTTTCTTTTTTTTTTTTTTTTATTACAGATGCTGGCCTCAGAGCACATTCCTACCTATGGTCTCCTGTGTAGCTGGAATCACAAGTGTACCATGATGCCTGGCTAGTTAAGATGGGGTCTTGCTAACTTTTTGCCTTCGCTGGTGTAGAACAGCAATTCTCCTGATCTCCACCTTTCAAGTAGCTGGGATTACAGCCATGAGCCACCATACCCAGCCTATTTTGCACATTTGTGAGTAGATCTGTAGAAAAATTTATGAGAAATGGAATTTCTACGTCAAAGTATGTGGACATTTTAAATTCCAACACATATTGCCAGATTGCACTCCTGGAAGCTGTAGAAACTTATACTTCTATCAGAAACCCTCACCAATATCAAAATTTTAAAATATTTTCAAAATTGATTGAACTTGTTCTACCTGATTTTACTTAGAATTAAAATTTCTCTGAGTGATATGCTTTAGCTGCTCATGGGGACTGAACATGTATGAAGAATTTTCACCCAATCTTTTTCTGACATCCAAAGGGCTTCCTGGTGTCCATGCTCTGATTCCTGAAGCCACTTAACATCAGTGCCCAGGACTGGGTGAGTCCTTAGGGCTCCCGGAGTCTCAGCTCTACCTTTGCTTATTTACCGTGAATTCTGTGACTTCCCTGTATCGAACACTGACTGATAAAGATGACGAAGTTTACTTCCTTAATCGCCATCCCTAAGTTACCATCTTCTTACTAAGATGACCACTTCCAAAATATTTTCTGTGTCTGCTTTTAACTGCCGAGCGATACAGAAGTCTGGAGCGTCTGGAAGAATACCCTCTCCCTAAAAGTGTCCCACACCTCCTCGTGGTTGACCGGGCTAAATGGCAAGTTTGAGGGTCAATTTTCATAGCTGCTTTTGACTTTCTGCAATAAAATTTATGTAATTCTCCTTTTGCTTTATGCTGTTTAATGTTCTCTTATTTATAGGTCATATTTTGAGATCTCAGAGTATACCCCCATCATCAAGCAGCCTGTTTCACCAGATCAAAGTTAACAACACCAGGGCTTTGGTACGTAATTGTGCTAATTTTAAAGAGAGGCATCATCCATTGCACCATTTCTTTGTTAATCATGACCCAAGAATTCTTGTTACATGCTAAATTCATCTGTTTGGATCACTATGCTTTCATCGGACAGTTCACAGGAGCTTCCTACGAGAAGTCATTCTTCAGCTTGTTGGATGAAATCTACATGTAAAAATACAGAATCCTCAGACCAGGAATAAAATAATGTCACCAAGATGATCTTCAACGCTGGAGTTTCTTGCCACTGCAACTCTCATCGTATGGACACTTTTGCAGACCCCCGCTCAAAGAGAAGAGAAGGCGTGGACTACTTACCTTTTACAAACACTATCAGAACATTGAAAATGATCCTATTACAAGAACACTGGGAAAGGTGTCAAAACAATTTTCAGGTCAGGTCTCCTGCAAACTTAGTTCGTCTTATTTGTAATACGCATGCGGTTTTCTACTTTTGAGGAACAGCATAGGATCCTCTAAGTTCTAATGTAGCTTGTGTTTAGAATTTGTGGCCTGACATTTGTTAGATAATATCTTTATTTGCTTTTCCTCATTTTGTAGGGTATGATAAAGTCACTGTTTTGACATGTACAAATGGAACTTAACAATATCTAGTATTTAAACCAATTTAGAACTATGTTGATCAAAATACAATTGACCAGATCACGGAAACATTTTTGTTCTAAAATTCATGAGCTAGAAACAGATCATGTGTGTATATTTGGCTGGTCAGGGGAAAATGAGGTAGCAAAGGATTTTTACTTTGTAATGAATGGCATAAGAAAAAAATTGCACTAGTATTCATGTTGGATGTAACCTTGATAGAAAATTTTGTTTATAAGATCAGCCAAAATGTTAGGGCCCAATCATTATGAAAAGGCAAAGAGAGCGGATAACCTTGACACTGTAACATAAACCCCTGAAGCGTTCCTGATGACTATGCTATATAAATGTAACTCAGAGAGATCTTCATGCTGAGATTTAATACTTGGGGTCAGTGCAGTGGTAAAGTTTGAAAAAAAATAAAACATATCAAGTAAACAACCTTCATGGCTATGTCTACCAGGGAGCCTCAGTTTGAAAGCTTTCACGTAAGGATAATTTCAACACTGAGTCAAAAGCCTAAAGCATGCAGGAGGTCGACCAAGCAATGACACCATTCTTCAAGAGATACATGAATTCCTCAACTCTTACATACAAAGCTTTGCATCTAGTTCAAGGTACATTAAGTTACAATGAAACCCCTCACTTTGTACAATTAATATATGTTAATAACAGAGAAAAACAAATTAGTTGAAGATGAATTTTTATTTTCGAAAAATAAAACTTATTTGAAAAAATCAGCCTCTTATGTTTTTAATCTGTATGTCCACCCTGCCAATTACACTGTTTTAAGTGCATTGAATATGTTATTGAATGTCATGTATCTCTACCTTTCTGTTTTGATTTAAAAGATACTAGGTTAAAAATATTTTCAGCTTCATTCTAGCCCATGTTTCATCCTCTCTGCATACTGAATTCATTTTGCTGCCTTTCAGAAAAGTGAAAAGAAAGCTTGTGTGGAGGGTTAAGAGTACATCTGATAATTCTTAGCATGATGCAAGTTTCTTTAAAAACTACTCAAAAAAAGGAATTTTTTTTGAAACTAAACACACTTAATACCTTCCCTGCTAATTTCATCTTTATTGGATTGCCCAGGGCCAAACTTTTCTGGCCTTCTTGAATTTGCAAACCTTGAAAAAACTGTAAAAAGAGAAAAAAACCCAAAACTCACCAAACACACACACACACACACACACATTCAGTCTGTACTGGACATCTCACATACAGACCTAAACTAGAAGCAAATATAAATGGAATCACCAAAAATCAAAGGGAAAAAGGTTCTAGAGAGGGGGGCGTTCCAGAGGGCTGGGGTGAGGGTCAGTGGCAGAGGCTCTGGGTGCAAATCCCAGCACAACAGCAACAACCAAAGCTAGACACATACTCAAAGACTCCAGTCTTACAAGTGGGGTTGAGAAGTGGGGTTTTGGAAAAACCTAACCTGAATTCAACTGATGTTTGAAATACCTGTCAGCATTAAATGAGATGTGTTGTGTTTATGCAAGAAGCCACGAATATTGTTTTGTAGATTTTAATACTAACTTTCACAGTGAGAGAAATACCAGGTGATTTCAAGAGCAGTCATGGTCTGTGAGCACTCAAAATGTCTTTGAACAGGGGAACAATTTTAGCGCTTCAGAAAAGGTACCCAGGAAATTATGGATAAGTACCACATGGCTGGAACAGCAAGCTGCTTCTGATGACGCTTCACATTTCCTAAGTGCATAGCTAGCAGGCACGTACACCAGGCCTACTGATGCTAGAAAGAAAAATCTTTAGTCAGCATAAAGCCTCTGATTTTTCACCAATATTTCTATTCACAAATATTCTAGTAAGAGTGTCTGACAACACATTAAAATGCCTCAAACAGGGTCTTGTTATTTTGTTTGCTTTTAATGTGACACTGGAAATAGATGAATTAGAACAGAGCGGTTTGAAAAGTTAAGGCTCTACAGAGTTTTAAGGACTAAACTGTTAAGGCACAGATAGCAATCTTCGGGACACGGTTAAAAGCTAAGGTTTAAAGGAGACACACAAAAACCGTACCTCTTTCCCTTTGTCACCACTCGGTCCCCAAAGAACCGAATCTTTTAAATTTAGCTATTGGTAAGAAGTGAAATGAAAACTCCGTGGATGAACACCTGAGGTGTTGGCGATACAAATGTCCTCAGTGCCAGATGTTGCTGCTCCAGCAGGGGGTCACACTGGATTCTCCTCCTCTGCTGGGTCTCCTTCGCTTCTGTGCTCCGAAGATGGCGCTGTCTTGATACCCCTTTCTGACTTCTCACCCACACTTGCACTGGTCTCCTCCTTACTTCCCCTTTTCTGCTGCTCTGCCGTCTGCTCTTTGGCCAAAAGTCGGTAATTGATAATCATGCCGATGAAGAGGTAGACACCTGCGAAAATAAGGGTGATGCCACAAGCCCAGTAAGTGTATTTATAGTCTCCATAAATGTCCTTGAGATGGCCTAAAAGCGGTGGCCCCAGGAGGACAGGACAGCATTCGGCAATAGTCACCACACCCACAGTACTGGGGAACTTCTGGGGTCCAACGAGGTCCATCAGTGTCTCAAACAATATGGAGCTGAGCCACCCAAAGACAAATCCAAAGAGGCCGGCATAGAGACAGAACCCCATATAGCTGCTGGTAAAAGGTATCATCAGGTGACACACTCCATTTGCAATAGAAGCAACCGCAAAGAAGTAGTGGATTCGAGGTCTCACAAGCTTGGTGTTGGCTATGAATCCCATAGAAGGCCTGGCTCCCATGTCAATAAAAGCCAGGATGGAAAGAAGGAAGGCCGCCTGCTCACTGGAAAAGCCCTTACTCTTGCCGTAGTTACTGAGGAAGACCAAAGGTGCAAAGAGTCCAAAAAACATGAACAAATTTCCGGAGAGGTATATCAAGAAGCCTCTATGGGATAAGAGGAACCAGCCTATGAATTGATCTGAGGTTTGGGTGTCTGGTTGTCTTCTCTTTTGGGGGTTCTCTCCAGCAAGTTCTGCATTTGCAGTACTTGCATCGGGTTTTTCAGCACCGGGAGGGTATTTCTTGGATATGTCTTTGTGGGCCATGGGTCCTATCGGTCGCATCAGGGACCCGGCGACACAGCAGTTGAGCAGGAGTCCTCCAAGGATCAGGAAGCTCCCTCTCCACCCATAGATACTAAAGAAAACCTGGTTGAGCGGGGCCAGGGTGGACAGGAACACCGGGCTGCCCGCCATGGCCAGGCCATTGGCCAGGGGTCGCTTCTTGTAAAAGTACCTGCCGATGATGGTGAGGGCCGGGTTCAAATTGAAGGCCAGCCCCAGGCCTCCGACGAAGCCGATGCACAGGTAGAGCTCCTGCACCGTATTGCAGAAGGACGCGGCCACTAGGCCGATGCCGGACAGACAGCCGCCCACCAGCACCACCGGCCGGCTGCCGTACTTGTTGACCAGCGCGCTGCTGACCGGGCCGCCCGCGTACATGGCCGCCAGCATGATGGACGAGATCCACGACACCTCGCTGGTGCTGGCGTTGAAGACGGTCTCGATCTCCTTGAAGAAGACGGTGATGGACTTGGGGAACGCGTAGGAGAAACCGATGGAGATGAAGGAGCCGAAGACCACGGCCCAGCCCCAGCCTCCGTCGGGGGGCGCATAGCCCAGCTGGTTCCCAGCGGAGGGCGGCATCCTGAGCGCAGCGACCGGAGATGGGAAATCGTTAGGCCTGGGGGGCCGCTCGACCGCCCCGCGCCGCCACCGCGCCCCGCTGACCCCGCGCCCCGCAGACCCCGCGCCCCGCAGACCGCGCCCGCTGACCCCGCGCCCCGCTGACACCCGATCCGTCACCGAGCCCAACTGACTCCGCGCCCGCTGACCCCGCTGAACCCGCGCCCCGCAGACCCGCGCCGCCACCGCGCCCGCGCCGCCACCGCGCCCGCAGACCCCGCGCCCCGCAGACCCGCGCCCCGCAGACCCCGCGCCCCGCAGACCCCGCGCCGCCACAGCGCCCCGCTGACCCGCGTCCCGCAGACCCCGCGCCCCACAGACCCCGCGCCCCGCAGACCCGCGCCCCGCTGACCCTGTTCCCCGCTGACCCCGCGCCCCGCAGACCCCGCGCCCCACTGACCCGCGCTGCCACCCGCGCCCCGCTGACCCCGTTCCCGCTGACCCGCGCCCCGCTGACCCGCGCCGCCACCGCGCCCCGCTGACCCCGCGTCCCGCAGACCCCGCGCCCCACAGACCCCGCGCCCCGCAGACCCGCGCCCCGCTGACCCTGTTCCCCGCTGACCCCCGCGCCCCGCAGACCCCGAGCCCCACTGACCCCGTTCCCGCTGACCCGCGCCCCGCAGACCCCGGCCCGCTGACACCGATCCGTCACCGAGCCCAACTGACTCCGCGCCCGCTGACCCGCTGAACCCCGCGCCCCGCAGACCCCGCGCCCCGCAGACCCCGCGCCGCCACCGCGCCCGGCTGACCCGCGTCCCGCTGACCCCGCGCCCCACAGACCCCGCGCCCCGCAGACCCGCGCCCCGCTGACCCCGTTCCCCGCTGACCCCCGCGCCCCGCAGACCCCGCGCCCACTGACCCGCGCCCCGCAGACCCCGCGCCCCGCTGACCCCCGTTCCCTGCTGACCCGCGCCCCGCAGACCCGCGCCCCACAGACCCGCGCCCGCTGGACCCTGTTCCCCGCTGACCCCGGCCCCGCAGACCCCGCGCCCCACTGACCCGCGCTGCCACCCGCGCCCCGCTGACCCGCGCCCCGCTGACCCCGTTCCCCGCTGACCCGCGCCCCGCAGACCCCGCGCCCCGCTGACACCCGATCCGTCACCGAGCCCAACTGACTCCGCGCCCCGCTGACCCCGCTGAACCCCGCGCCCCGCAGACCCGCGCCGCCACCGCGCCCCGCTGACCCCGCGTCCCGCAGAACCCCACACTCTCCAAAGGTCAAGGGCGCCCACTGCGCGCTGTTCTGTGCTAGCTCTCTGAAGGTCAGTCAGTGCTTTCAGTCCTTTACCCAAGCCAGTCCTGCCTCCTCATCCCGCGGGACACACGGCAAGTCCTGAGGGGCGCCACATCACCTCAGCCTTGAACCGCGTTTTCTGTAAGACAGCTTTCTTGAAGTAGTGACGAAGATCAACTGCGAGTGCCAGCTGGGAGCGTTTAGAAAGTCTTGACACCGCTGGAAGTCGTCCTCTAATCAAAGGGGTAGACATTGCTGTTGTCCCCCCAAAGTATCACTTTGCCTCTTTAGAGTCCCATTTTCTGTGCCACCCCATCCCAGGCCTCAGACAACCAGAATTCTGCTCGTGTTACTGTAGATAAGGCGGCATTTGCTCAAGTTTATGTAAGGGGCATTGTATAGGCCGTGATCTTTTTGTCTTCTTTAACTCGTCATTACTTTGAAAGTCATCTATCTTATTGTATTATAAAAGTTCACTTCCTGTTTATTCCTGAGTAGTATTCCATTACACGGATGTATAACGGTCAGTTCCCTTACTCATCCACCTGTCGCTGTGGTTTGGAGAAATGTTCCCAAAAGGCCACGCACTAGCCCATGCACTGTAGGAAAATGGAGGCTTTAGAAGTGGGGCCTGGTGGGAGGAAGTTAGGTCATTGGGACAGTGCCCTTGAAGGGCATTGTAGGACTTCTCTCTTCCTGTTTCTTTCACTAACCGGTTGCCACCAGATGAGCGCCTTCCTCCACCAAGTGCTTCTGCCATATTGTACCACGTCACTACCAGCCTGAAGGCAACTGGGCCAGCCAACCATGGACAGAAACCTCCCTCTTCCCTTAAATTGATTCTCATAGGTATTCTGTTACAGCAATGGAAAGCTGTCTAGCATATTTGCCAATGAATATTTGGGTTGTTTCCAGTTTGGAGCTCTTACAAATAACTTTTCTGTGAACATTTGTGTCTAAATGTGTACATTTGCTTTCTTTTCTCTTGAGAAAATATCTAGGAGTGAAGTGGCTGGTCTACAAAGTACATATATTGTAAATAAATTGCCGAACTTCCAAAGTTATGTTACTGTTGCAGATTACCACGAGTCCTGTGGTAACAGACTCGTTCCATACCTGTCTGTGCTTGTCAACACTTGGCTTAATCAGTCTTTGTAAAGTTTAGACATTGTCACAGGTGGGTGAAGGTATCCAATTATGGGTTTAATTTGCATTTCCCTGTGAATAATTGTGGCGGGTACCTTTGCTTGTGCTTAGCATAGCTTCTTTGGTGACGTACCCATTAAAATCCTTTGTGATTTTCAAGTTGAGTTACTTATGCTCCTATTATTGAGTTTTGAAAGGTTTTCTATAGAATGTGGGTACAAGTCCTTTCTCAGAAATCTGCTTTGTAAATAATTCTTCTGAATTTGTAGTTTTTACTTTCATTCTCTGGTGTTTTTATAAGAAGTCTGCCATCTTAATTATTATCATCCTCCCTATTTTGGGGTATCATATGAAATACAGTAACTATTTTAGTATCTTTGTGCAATAATTCTAACATCTGTAAATTCTGATCAATTGATTCTCATTTTGAGTTATTGCTTCCCACTTCTTTGTGCAACTAGGAATCTTGAATTAGATGCCTGGCATTCCTTGACATATTTTACTGGTTTCAAGATTTCCTCATTGTCTTTGGTGTTCAGAAATTTGATTATCATATGCTTTACTCTGGCTTCATGGTTCTTGTGGCTTAAAGTTTATCGAGGCTCTGACTCTGTGAGTTTATAGTTTTTGTCAAACTTGAAAAGCCCGAGACACTATTTCTTCAAATACATTTTCTTTTTCCCTTCACTATTCTATTTTTTGGGACTCTATTTACATATACCTTAGGCTACTTGAAGTTGTTCCAAGTTCACTGATTCCTTCTCATTTTTAAAACGTATTTCTCTCTGTGATCCATATTGTGAGGTCTCTGTTGCTCTGCTTCCTCACTGTTCTTTTTTTCTACAACATTGAATCTGCTCTTAATCCCTACATTTTTCAACTTCAGCATTACAGTTTTCATCTGTGGAAGTTTGATTTTGATCATATTTTATATTTTCAATATATCTATTTAATTTTTGGAATGTATGAAATGCAGTTATAATAACTGTTTTATGTCCTTGTCTGATAATTTTGACATGTGTCAATTCTATCTAACCAGTTGATCCTTATTGTTAGTGGTTGTGGTTTGCTTGTTTCCTGGTAATCGTGAATTAGATACCATTCATGAGTTTTATCTTGTTGAGAGTTGGATATTTTTGTGTTTCTATAAATCTCTAGCTTTGTTCTGAGATGCAGTTAATTTACTCCTAAACAGTTTGATCCTTTCAAGTTCTATGATCTGGTAGGTTAGTCTTAATTAAGTTTCAGCATAAGTGAATGATTTCCCACCACTGAGGCAAGACCCTCGTATATGCTTTATGAAAGGCCTGGTGAGTGGTGAGGCTTGGGGATCTGGCTGTTGTGAACCAGCACTACTCCCAGTCCTGTGTGAGCTCCTGGCGCTGTTCCTTCTTCTTATTGTGTATTTTCCCTGGCCTTTGGCAGGCTTCTCACACAAGCACTGATCAGTGCTCGGCTGAATGTTCCGGGAGACCCTGTGTGGTGGTCGAGTTCCTCTTTCCATGTAACCCTCTCCTGTCTGTATTCTGACCTAAGAGTGGGACAGTCAGCCATGTCTCTTGTACTCAGAGAGTCATCTTTGGTTTCTGCTCCTTGAAGAGACCTGGGCAGTAAGCTGGGCAGTTGTAGGCTTGCTTCATTGTGTCCTGTCTCTCAGGGATCCCTGACCTTCAGTTCCTCTTGTCCAGTGTCCAGGAATTCCTCCAACTTGACCAGAAGTGGGGGTCTCCAAAAACCAACTTTCCAAACATTTCCATTCTTTTTAGAGAGACGAGTAAGTGATATTTTAAAGATGTGAATAAAGAGAAAGGTGAAAACAGCATTTCTGTTTACATAGAGAATTTATCCTGAGGTGCAATGTTAATAGTTTGAGCTTGCCTTTAATTTGTTCTGATATTCCAATAATTATTATTTAATATACATTAAGCCTTCTAGATATGGACACCAGAGCTATATTGTATTAATCAAAATCCTGCCTTGAGGAAATTGAAATATAATGGCACAAAGGATACATAACACTGGAATTAAAAGAAAAGTGGGTGGGAGTAGCTAATGTGAAAGAATATTCGGCTGAAACTTTAACCTTTGCTTTTTGAAACACTCTTTCAATGAGACAGTGGAGCTCTAAGGTGTAATGAAATGAATGCTTATTGAGAGTTGTAGGATGAGATAGTTTCTGAACATTTCCACGATTAGAATAGAAATAGAAGGATGAGAAACACCAGATGACAACCTCCTGTTGTAGCTGGAAAAGTATTAGCTGAGTTTTAAAGGTGAGAACAGGAAGTCTTGTGAGAAAAAATAATGGATTCTTCAGTTTTACTTTCCCTGCTAGCTCCCACCTTGCCTGCCGACCCCAATTGCCCTTTTTCTCATAGGACCACGCGACCCCAAATTCTTAGTTCACCTGGTTACTGCAATGCATGTGGAGTTAGCACGTGGAAAACCGTGTGTGTTTGGAGGGGTACAATTTGATCTGGAGGCGGTAGATAACTCTGTGAGGGGTCACTTATGAGTTTATGTACGCTTTTCAGCTGTGTAAGGACTCTGTAGGTTTGATACTGTAGAACCATCTGACTCC